TATCAGTAATGAGAGAGAATCATTGATTGGCTACTGCCTGCATACCCCCTACTGGGGAATCAAGCCCGAAACTCGGGCATGTGCCCCTGACAAGGAATAGAACTGTGACCTCCTGGTTCATAGGTTGATGCTCAACCACTGAACCACGGCAGCTGGGCTGATCTCTTTTTTTATGAGTTTAATTTTTTTTTCAGATTCTACATACAAATGAGATCATAGAGTATTTGTCTGTTTCTGTCTGACTTATTTCACTTAACATAATGCCCTCAAGTTCATCCACATTGTCACAAATGACAGCATTTCCATTTAATTGCTGAATAATATTCCACTGGGTATATATAAATATGCCACAATTTCTTTATTGCTCATTCATCCATTGATTGGCGATTGCATGTCTTGGCTATCTTATATAATAAAAGGCTAATATGCAAATTAACCAAACAACAGAATGGCGGGTCGCTATGACATGCACTGACCACCAAGGGGCAACAGATGGGGAGCACAGCTATGGTGGCAGGAGCCTAAGCTGTCAGTCGGATATCCTCCGAGGGCCCCTGACTGTGAAAGGGTGCAGGCCGGGCTGAGGGACTGACCCCCACTTCCGAGTGTGCGAATTTCATGCACCGGGCCTTTAGTTGTAAATAATGGTGCAGGGAGCATGGGGGCACAGATATCTCTTCAGCCTAGTGATTCCCTTTCCTTCTGAGGTACACTCAGAAGTGGAATGGCTGGATCAAATGAGAGTTCAATTTTTTGTCACTACTGTTTTCTGTAGTGGCTGTACCAACAGGGTGTAAGTGAACCCGTGGAGCTCAGACCCAGAGAGTCCTTGCTCTTAGACTCCACAACTACATAAGTGAGTTTCTGTAGTGGGTCAGACCTGGCCTTGCCTCCTTGAGCTTGTTGCTTATGCCGTCTGAGTCTTCTCTTAGTCCTAGAGTAAATCTCTCACATGGGTGTTGAATGGAATAAATTAGGCCTGTCCTCTAAGCCTGGAGCAAAGATTCTCAAGCAGTATTAGCTAGGGGTGTTCCCGGTGAAAGCAGCTCTCCTGTAGCCACACAGGTCCAGTGGTCATTTGGGTTTCTAGTTCTCTGAGTGCTACCTTTGTGATCTTCCCTCTAGTAAATTTTCCTCTACCTTCAACTTCCTTCCACAGGCTTTCTGCAAAACATTTTGTCCCAGTTGAGATCACAACCAGAAAGATCACAGCTCTTCTCGCTAAAATTTCCTTTTTCCGCAGCCCCAAACCAGGGTAGCTGAAGGTTTGCTGTGCTTGCCAGGAAAAATGTCCATGTCTTATTTGCAAGGACACATAAAGGCACCCTTCATCACCAGCTCTTGTGCTTTCTGTCCTCAGGACCTGCAGTCAGCTCAAGCAGACTTTGAGCAGCAACCAGTCTCCACCAGACACTGCAGGGCAGCGCTTGGCCTACAACCATGAGGTAAAGGGTTTTTATCTTGTATTGATCCCTTAAAATTGTGTCTAGTGTCTGAAAATTTTAAGGCAGATTTTTCTCAAGTGCTTGATTTCAGCATCTGCTTAAATATTTAACGGACTTTCATCTAGATACTACTCATTCCAGGAATTTAAAAGTCTGTAGCACTTCCTGACTCACACAGGCTCTCCATAATGGAAGATTTTAGAAATCCTAACCAGCCAGTGGCCAGAGGCTGAAGTAGGAAGAGATGGGAAGACAGGGTGCTGGTGTGGGAAGCTTTGGGGGTGGGGGAGGGGTGAGTTTATTTCATTCTGTTGTGGGCAAATTTTAATCAGTTAAGGATGCAAACCAGGCAGAAATGTTCTTACAAGTTTTTATTTTTCTGTTTATTTGAAAGGAAAAGTCAGGAGTTTGGGGTTATCTATCTAAATAAAACCCTAATATGCAAATCGACCAAACGGCGGAACAACCAGTCCTATGGCGTGTACTGACCACCAGGGGGCAGACACTCAATGCAGGAGCTGCCCCCAGCCCACAGGCCCTGACCAGTGGTGCCAGCTGCAGGGGGCAGGGCCGGCAAGCAGGAGGCACCAGGCCAGCCAAAGTGGGTATGAGCAGGGGGTCCCCTCAATTGCCCCACCAGTCACCCCACAGATCAGCCCTAGGGACCCTACCTGTGCACGAATTTCATGCACCAGACCTCTAGTTTAATTATAATTTTTAAAGGAAAGGTATCTCTTTATCAGAGCTCAGCAGTGGCTGGCCTAGGAAAGGGTGGATTTAACTCACTTTCCCAAAGAACCACTGTCAGGCATTAACCCTAACGCACATCTCCAAGAACCAAGTGCTGTTTCTCCAAATATTTAAGAGAAACGGGACTTGGTTAGTCCCAGCGCCCATCCTCCCTTTCCTGTTTTGTTTTTAAGCCTCGATGATCTTTAAACAACAAAAGAACACTCATACAACAACAAAACTAAAATTATGAAAAACATTTCTAAGGACAAAAATACTATAAGCACACTTAAACCCCCTGGAAAAGTACCAGCTAATATAAGGGGGTGGGGGGGGGATTCATATCACCTATTTTATATAAACAACCAGAAATAAAACATTTCAAAACTTATAAAACAGACTTGGAGGATTTTTTTTAACTTTAGAGTGCATATTATTTATAGTTTCACCTTGTCTTTACACTTAACATTATTTTGTGAAAATTTTCCCATGTTAATAAATTTTTTAAAATATTATGACTATTGAAGGCCTCATAATAATGTTGCAAAGTATGGATGCATCATGACTTCTTTCCCTTTATTCTTTCTTCCCTCCATCCTTCTCTTTTTTATTCCTCATTTTCTCCTTCCTTAGTTCTTTCCCTCCTTCCTCCCTTTCCGATTTCTTCTTTGATAGTCTAATCAAATTTATACATTCACACCACTGAAATAGTCAACATGATCTACAAGGTCGGAGAAGTAACAGTCCTTCACCTTACTTCCCACTCCCTAAAGGCAGCCATTTATAATTCTTTTAGTGGCTATTGTGTTATTTCCTTATACTAAATAATATGCTTATCTTGGAAATTCTAAAAATGTTTTAAAATGGTTAAGCTTTATGTATTGGCTTTTCGCCACTGAACTCCCTCCCCCAACATACACATGCACACACAGCGCCCCTCCCAGCCAATGGCATTGTCTTAGATTAACATTTGGTATTTAGATTATTACAATCACATGAATGCTATTTACAGCTGAGCCCTGTTTGTTCTACAATGACCTTTGTTTTCCTGTATTTTGTTTCATATTTCCCCCACGTTAAAGGAAACACACACAAAAGTAGTTGTGTTGTTTCCTTTTTTTTTTTTTTAAGTTTTCTAAGTAATGATCACTATCTCAGCCCCAACCAAACTCTTCTCCAGTTGAATAGATCTCCTCTCCCCATTTTCAAATATTAGGTAAGCTGACATTTTCACATTTCCGTGGAAATCACTCACAGGATATGTGACCGGCTCCTGTCTACACTGGTTGCTCCTGAGACCTGTAGCAAGGATTTCCCTTCCCCCTCATTTAGGGTTTTCCTTCACCTCCCCTGGTACTGGACCTTCCCTTGCACTGTGTCCTGTGCTTCCTAAATCCGTTTCTTTATTTCCCTGGGTTTACTGCTACTTCTCCTCCCAGCTTCCTGAGGAACAGCGCGTAAAAAGGAAACATTTTACTTTTATGTATAAAATGTCTATTTTTTCCTCTCATTATTTTGCTATATTTAGAATTCTATGCTAGAAATTACTTGCCCGCACTATTTTGATGACATTTCTCCCTTGTCTTCTAGCTTTAACTATTGTTGATGAGAAGTCCAAAAACATTTGGATTTTATTTTATAAATACCCCCGCCCTCAGCTTCAGAACATTTAGAATTCTCTTTGTCATCAGTGTTCTAAAAGCTTACTTGGTAAAGGTTTATTTTTTTTTTTTCCCCACTTGGAAACTTATAGCTTTCAATCAGGGAAAATTTAGTGGATATTTTCATTGGCTTTTTCATGAATATTTTTTCCTTTTTTTTTTCTTTTTTTTTTTTTGCCTCTGTAGAACTCTTACTATTCAGATATTGATCCTCATAGACTGCTCCATGCCATTAATTCCTGAGCCTTTGGTGTAGTCTGCAATATAAATTGGGTCGATTCTCGGACTCCCCCCACTGCTGACAGATGTCGTTTTCTCAAGTTTAGTACAGCATGAGGAAATGACCTCTTGTCTAGCTCTTTCAGAGTTTCCAAGATTTTGTTGCCTTTGTGTTCTCTACTATTCTCTTCTCCTTGAGGATTTGATTTGAGGAGAAAGCTAAAACAAGCTCATGTGTTCAACTGATAGTTCCATAATGCCTTTAAGTATTTTTTATGAACCATCATTTAGTTCGTTTAAATTTTTAAGCAGTTTTAACTAATCCTGCAATGAACATCCTTTGTTCATAAACCTCTGTATCAGTCAGGATTCAACCAAAGAAGCAGAAGCAAGAAGAGGTATATAGTAAGTGATTTACTGTAAGGAGTTGGCCTATGTGATTGTGAGGGCTGGCTAGGCAAGTCCAAATCCATAGGGCAAACCGTTAAGAAAGGCAGGCTGGGACTCCGGGGCGTGGGCTGCCTGCCGGCCACAGGCAGCAGCTCTTCATCAGGGAAGCCTCAGCTCTGTCTTCAAGCCTTTCAACTGATTAAACCAGGCCCACCAGGTTATACAGAATGATCTCCTGCTTCCAGTGAACTGATTATGGCATTTCATCCCATTTGCAAAATACCTTCCCGGCAACATCTAGATTAATGTTCTAACCACAAAACAATAGGTGTGGATAAAAGATCAGGGAGAGCAGACACACACACACATACACACACACACACATAATAGGTGTGGAGAAGAGATCGGGGAGAGCAGACACACACACACACACACACACACACACTTGGTTGATTGATATGGCACTGTACTTATTGTGTAAGAAACTCTGTCTCTCAGTTTCTCATCTGTAAATGGGATACCACCTGCCTCCTGGGGCGGCTGTGCATACTGAATGAGATGATTCCTCACCTGATTCATGTTTGTTGCTCCACATAATGATAATACTAATACTGTAAGTCACATTTTCAGATGCTTCCTATCTACCAGGAACTGTTAGAGGTACTTTTCAGATGTTATTTCATTCAATCCTCACAAAAGATAGGAGCTAAACAGCTTACCCCAGGTCACAAAGAGAATACCCTAATTTCATCTGCCTATTAGTCCTCAGACCCTGGGTTTTGATTTTTTTTAAATATATTTTTTATTTATTTCAGAGAGGAAGGGAAAGGGAGAGAGAGAGAGAGAAACATCAATGATGAGAGAGAACCATCGATCCGTTGCCTCCTGCACACCCCCTACTGGGGATCGAGCCAGCAACATGCCCTTGACCGGAATCGAACCCGGGACACTTCAGTCCACAGGGCGAGGCTCTGTCTGGCAAACCAGCTAAAGCTGGGTTTTGGTTTTTAAGGTTTCCTCTCTGTTTTCTGTATGTCAGGTTCCTAGCAGGAAACTGATGTCAAACTCAAGCTGAGTAATTCAAGAAAGTTGAATACTAGTATAGAGGTGGGTTGGGTTTAGAGATAATAAAAGAATATGCAGTACTCTGGGGCTAATAACAGTAAGCTGGAAGGAGCCCGAGACGGGAGAAATTACAGGACCACTGTGTAGCTGACGCAGCTCCTCCATGTGGCCTTTTCTCATTCTGGGAACAGCAAACAAGGTCTCTCCCTGAGTCTAGGTTAAGGCAGGGGCAGCCTGGGGCCTATGTAAAGACAGACAGAAATATTTGTAACAAGCAGAGTAATAGGAAGTCTCGTTTCATTTTTCTCAAAACAGAAACAATTGCCAGGAGAGAGTTGGTTTTCCTTTCCAGTTTCTATTTCCCAGTCACACCATGTACTCTCACTCTAGCCCAGCAGCCAGAGCAGGTGACTCATCCCTGCTGAGATCACACCGGGCTCTGGCCAGACAGACTCCTGAAAGGTGAATCCGTACATCGAGGCCAGTGGTTCTCAACCTTCCACATGCCGCGACCCTTAATACAGTTCCTCATGTTGTGGTGACCCCCAACCATAAAATTATTTTCGTTGCTACTTCATAACTGTAATGTTGCTACTGTTATGAATCGTCATGTAAATGCAGGATGTATTTAGGCGACCCCTGTGAAAGGGTGGTTCGACCCCCAAAGGGGTCGCGACCCACAGGTTGAGAACCGCTGATCTAGGTGCTTCACAACACAGTGACCACGTGCTTTCTCTGAGCTTCTCCCCACCCAGCACCTTCATGAATAGGATTGAAACATGTCTATCTGTTTCCTTGAGTGCCAATTCCAAAAAAATAAAACAAAACCCACAATGTTCCTAATTTCCTAGTTCGGCACTTCTTGCACATTTAACAATACGTTTCTATAAGTACGTAAAAGAACTTGTAAGAAAAGTGAGAGCTAAAAGCACGGATTTCCAACAGGGATAGGCTTAGCTGTGTAGCCTAATAAAAGGGTATAGGATTGCAAGAAGCGTAGCTTCCACCCGGTCCTGGGCAGAAAAATGCGCAATAAATCACCCTTCCTCCAAGACCCAACCACCTGGCCCGTCAGCCTCAGTCAGCCTCAGTTTCTCCCAGGCTCTGTGTAAGTTCCTGGCCTCAAAGAAACCAGGTGCTATTAGCATCCCCCCCTTGGGTCTATGTACATGGTAATCCCTTTGTGATTAAGGGTATGAATAAGGAGAGAGCAAAGAAGGTACACTTCTCTATCATAACACACCACTACGGCTGCTCATTGCGGCGTGGGGGTGCAGAATACCGAGGCGACCCACGGGGGCTTACAAGGGTGTGGAGCTCAGGGAAGCCAGCGATGTGTAGAGAGGTCACGGGCTGTTTTCCCTGAGTCAGTGACGATGAGTCATGAGATGTCAGAGAGGCGAAAGCTCT